AGCCATGCCCAGCCAGCTTCTCCAGGAAGAATATTACTTAAAGAACATTTCTATTGCATCCAGTTACATACGGACAGTTGTTTTGTTTTCAAACAATCAACTGCAGAACTGAATTAGTGTTTATGTTAAACACTGACATTTTCCTGCTTTGTTTCTCATGAGTGAAGGTCAACAGCTCAGAGCTTCGAGAGCTTCAATTCAGAATTTAAGAGGTTTTGTCCTTCTCCCTGTATGTAACTTCTGAGTATTACGAGGTTTCTCTCACATATAATTCTTCTTTTTCCTACAGTGTAATACATATGACAGCTTGTGAATAGACTCTTTTCTCCCCATTATCAAACAACTCTAGAAAAGTTTTAAATCTCAAACTCAGCTGCCTCTGCTCTAAGTTCTAGAGACAAATAAATGTTGCACAGCAGAGGAAATCTCACTCATCCAGCTACTTTCCAATATACTCAAACATCGTAAAGTAATAGGCTACACCTTTGATATTATGTTTCCTAAAAACCTGTATTTTTCATTTTACCTTGTACTGGTCACTGGGAGACAGTTTGTTCCAAGGTTCTGGATTATTTTTCTTGTCCCAGCTATTGAGAGAAATGCAAGATATGAGAACATATTAAGAGAATCACACTACCTTCAAAATAAAATTTGTATATGTACTGTGGTTGTTAGGGCATGGAAGAGACACCTGTACAAATAAGCTTCCACAGAAAGCTTAAAGACACAGTCTTTTCCCAGCGGTCTCTAAATATCATATGAGAAACAAACAAATCTCAGAAGCAAGGAAATCTCCATGCATTTAGTGCCAGTGATACTGGTGCAAGGCATTAGGGCCTCCAGAAACATAAAGACCAAAGCAGCGAAGTTTACTTTAATAAATGCAGCAAGAGGACTGGGCGCTGTGAATAATTTTATACGTACCAGACATCCGGGTTGAACACTGCCAAACGCATGAGATACAGGCCTGCGCCAATACCTCCAGATCCAATGATCACAAATAGAGGGATCAACTAGAACAAAATAAAACAGATGTAAACATCACACCACAACATAATAAGATTATTATATAGCACTTCTGAACAGCAATGACTAGAACAAGAAAGAAAAAATTGTCATACTACAATACTACAAAACGAGTCAGTATTATTACATACTGTTTCTGACTACAGCAATGACAAACCAAAGAACAAACTCACACACTTGAAGTCAGAAATTATGGCCCTTTAAAACAGACACAAGCTCCCTGAGCTCAGCACATCCCTGGGGTGACAGAGGAACCAGCAACTACAAAGAGGCAGACATGAAAAAACACTGCTACATGCAATACAACCAAATGTCCCATGATAACACGTTTCTGAGAAACAAATGCCAGTCCCTCCCCTGCCCAAAACTACCCCTTACCACCTGTACTCCTGATCATAAAATAAGTAAATGAGCAAATGGGAGTGGAGGAGAGTTTAGACAAGAATATGAGCAAAAAGAATGGAAGAGCCACCTTGAGCCTTGTTGCTGAAGAATGAGCAAGGCCCACGCATAGTAGACGAGAAAAGACCTGACAATGTCTCGCCGATCAGCTCTGAGCTGCCCACACACCATCAGCCCCGGCCCACCCAACGGACCAGGATCCAGATGGAAAGGAAACGGAAGAGTGAGGAGCGGGGCGACCAGCGAGGCCGGGGGCACCAACCGCCAGCAGAGGAGGGCGCTGGGAGGGGGCAGCGGCCCGAAGGGGCCGAGCTCCGCAGCCCTCCACACGGACACGGAGCTGCCACCGGGTACTCACGCTGGGGTGCTTCTTGGCGTGGCTGACTATAACGCGAAACATGGCGACAGCGAACGCAGACAAAAGTCTCGCTCTCTACCAGGCTCCTTAGCCCGTCCTCCCTCTTTAGCTGCTGAGGCCCAATGTCACCCAAGGCCCCCGGCGCGGCAGGGGCCCCGCGCCCCCGGCCGGCGGGA